TAAAGAGAAGGGTGTTTCTCCTATGCTCGTTTTTGTTGTTGTGCGATATGCCCATAAAACTCCGGGTAACACTTCAGGACAATTACCCTTTGACTCCTCTAGTTGTTTCTTTAAATTGTTGATTATGACTTTGTTTGTTGATTCTGCTTGTCCATTTCCCACTGGATGATATGGTGTAGATGTAATCCTTTTAATTTGCCAACTCTCAAGAAACTCTGTGACTTGAGCTCCGATAAATTGAGGGCCATTGTCAGATACAATTTCTTTTGGTACACCAAATCGGCAGATGATATTTCGCCAAATGAAATCCTTAACTTCCTTTTCTCGCACCTGTTTAAATGCTCCTTCCTCCACCCATTTAGTGAAATAATTAGTAAGTACGAGTAGAAACTTTACCTATCCTTTCGCTTGAGGTAATGGCCCTACTATATCCATTCCCCATTTCATAAATGGCAACGGTGTAATGACTGGATGTAATAATTCTGCTGGTCTGTGCATATTGTTACCGTACCTCTGGCATTTATCACATTTAGCCACGAAACTCTCCGCTTCTTCTTCCATTTTGGGCCAATAGTACCTGCTCTAATCAAGGTTCTCACCAGTGATCTTCCTCCTGCGTGATTCCCACAATGCCCCTCATGTATTTCTCTCATTACATACTCCGTTTGCAAAGGTCCGAGGCATCTTGCTAAGGGACCACCGAATATTTTCCGATATAAGTTACCTTGCTGTAAACAGTATCGAGCAACCTTCTTTCGCAACGCATAAGCTTTCTTCTTATCGCCAGGGATGGTACCATGCTGCAAAAAAGAAACAATTTCGTTCCTCCAATCCCAAGTTAAATGATTAAAATTTACCCCGTTCTTATCAGGTTCGAGAACTGAGTGAAATAAATGTATAACTGAGGCGTTTGCATCATTTGCTACGTCAGCTGCGAATGCGAGATTAGCTAAGGCATCTGCTTCAACATTTTTATCCCTTGGTATTTGTATGACCTTCCAAGTTTGAAATTGCTTAATCAGTTCCCATACCTTTTCCAAATACTGTTGCATCCTTGCTTCTCTGGCCGTGAAAGTCCCCAGCATTTGATTAACCACGAGTTGTGAATCACTTTTGATCACTATTTGATTTATTCCAAGTTCTCGTGCCAATTCTAGACCTGCAACCACAGCTTCATACTCCGCTTCATTGTTAGTTATGGAGTGACATTTAATAGCTTGCCTAATAGTTTCACCCGTAGGTGGTACTAAGACAATTCCTAAACATGCACCTTTTACGTTAGATGAGCCATCAGTGAATAAAGTCCACGTACCTGGATTGGACCCATTAAGTATCTGTACTTCTTTTTTCTGCTTCTAATTGCATCCCTTGACTAAAGTCAGCCACGAAATCGGCTAATACTTGGGATTTTATTGTTGTTCTAGGTAGGTACGTGATTTCATATTCACCTAGCTCTATGTCCCATTTAGCCAATCTGCCTGATAATTCATGCTTATGCAATATATTACGTAAGGGATATGCAGTCATTACAACAATGGGATGACATTGAAAATATGGTCTTAACTTTCTAGATGCCATGATTAAAGCAAGTGCTAGTTTTTCCAATTGTGGATACCGTGTCTCTGCATCTAACAAAGATTTACTAACATAATAGATAGGGGATTGTTTACCTTGTTCTTCTCGAACCAAAACAGCGCTTACCGCAACTTCTAAAACAACAAGATAAATAAAAAGTTTCTCCCCAGCCTTTGGTTTTGCTAGCAAAGGTGGATTTGACAAGTATGTTTTCAAATTCCTAAGTGCTTGTTGACATTCCTCATTCCACTCAAAATGATCCTGCTTCTTAAGGGCTGAGAAGAATTTAAAATATTTTTCCGATGATTTAGAAATGAATCTTCCCAAAGCAGCAATTCTTCCTGTCAATCTTTGAACTTCTTTCTTATTTGAAAGTATATCAGGGATTTCTTCGATGGCCTTAATCTGTGCAGGATTCACTTCAATACCACGGTTAGATACAAGAAAACCTAAAAACTTACCTGATGCCACACCAAATGCACATTTTTTTGGGTTTAACTTCATATTATATTTTCGTAAAATTTTAAACGTGTCAGACAAATGCGATATATGATCTTCTGAATGCTGAGTCTTAACTAGCATATCATCTATATATACCTCCATGGTCTTACCTAACTGCTCTTGAAACATTTGGGGAACTAACCTTTGATACGTTGCACCTGCATTTTTAAGACCAAAGGGCATTACCTTATAACAGTAAGTCCCCCTGTCTGTTATGAAAGAAGTTTTTGTCTCATCTTCTGGATCCATTTTGATTTGATTATAGCCTGAATATGCATCTAAGAAACTTAATAGCTCATGTCCTGCAGTAGCATCAATTAGTTGATCTATGTGCGGTAAAGGAAAAGAATCTTTTGGGCAGGCTTTATTATAAGGTCCGTTTAATCTACACAGACTCGCCACTTACTGTTCTTCTTAGGAACCACAACAATGTTAGCTAACCAGTTAGGATATTTTACCTCACGAATTGAACCAATTTCTAGCAATTTTTGGACCTCTTCTTGAATCACTTGATTCTTGAAAGTTCCTTGCTTTCTTTTCTTTTGCTTGACTGGAGGGTATGATGGATCTTCGTTTAATTTATGAGTCGTGACCTCCAGTGGTATCCCTGTCATGTCAGAATGGGACCAAGCAAAATAATCTGCATTAGCTTTTAAAAATTCAATCAACTTACGCTTTACCTCCGGGCTAAGATTGGCTCCTATATACACTTTTCTCTCAGGCCAATGTATAAATAAAACCACGGCCTCTAACTCTTCTATCGTTGTTTTGATGTTCTGGTTTTCCTCCGGTTCTTGAATGGTATCTGGTCTTGAATCCACATCTGTTTTCCCTTTTTCAGTTGAGGTTGACACCATGTCCCCCACCTGAATTCTGTAATTGCTATTTGTCTTCTCCCTTAACATTTGAATTTGCGATGGAATTGATGCTTCTAGATGTCAGTTGATCGCCTCTGATTTGGCATATTCCCCATGGTGATGGAAATTTAATAACTTGATGTAAGGTTGATGGAATAACATCCATGTCATGGATCCATGGCCTTCCGAGAATCATGTTGTAAGCCATTTCCATATCTACGACCTGAAATTTGGTATCTTTGACGACGCCTTCTGCAAATGTAGTAAGTATTGCTTCGCCTTTAATTACAACACTAGAGTTGTCAAATCCCGACAAAGTATGCGCTTTTGGAACCAGTTTATCTTCTGCTTGCATTTCGCGCAATACTCTTATCAAAATAATGTTTACAGAACTGCCTGGATCAATCAAAACTCGTTTCACGTTAATGTCATGTACAAGTAAAGATATTACCAGTGCGTTGTTATGTGGAAATAGTATGCCATCTGCATCTGCGTCATCAAAGGTAATACTTTCTTCCTCCAAGACTTGTCGTACTCGCTTCCCATGAGTGATTGTTATCTTGGAGACCTTATTAGTTGCGGTATATGAGATGCCATTGATATCTTCGCCCCCACTTATAATATTGACGGTTCTTTTGGGTGAGGGTGGTTTAGGAGGCTCCTGCCTGTTCTTCATGTATGCTTGTTTACCTTTTTCACTGAATAACTCAGTGAGATACCCTTGTTTTAACAAGTGATCAACTTCACCCTGCAGAAATCAGCAATCTGCTGTTTTATGCCCGTGGTCGTTGTGGAATTCACACCAATGATCAGGGTTTCGTCTTTTTGGATTTGTTCTCATCTCCTTTGGCCATCGTGCCTTATCTCACATGCTTCTTAAAATAGCTACGAGTTCAGAGGTGCTTACGTTGAAATTATAACTACCGAACCTTGCCTTTAGACTTCCATCATCATCTCGTGACCCGCGTGTGTTCCGATCATTTCCAAATCTTGAAGTCGAGCCTGATTCTTTATTCCTCGACCTGTGATTGTACCTCTGACTGTCTCGCTTTGCTCGTGAGTCTCTTCTCGCGGGTCCCATATATAGCTCGTACCTGTTTTTACCAGATCTTTTTTCATTTTCCACACGCCTTGAGCTTACTTTTTCTTCTGTTTTATGTCGTAAAATATCTTCTTCAATCCTCATTTTTGTACTGTATCTATTGTAGACATCATTCCACGTTGTTGCTGGGAATTCTCGAAGGCTTTCCTTGAGTCGCCTCGTAGCTTCTGAACTTTTCTCATTCAAATTGCTGGTGAAAGCTATGGCTGCTCAATTGTCAGGTACTCGTGGCAACGTCATTCTTTCCCATTGAAATCTGTCCACGAATTCTCTAAGCAACTCCGAATCTCCTTGCTTGATTTTAAAGATGTCTTCCATTCTCTTTTAAACTTTTTGAGCTCCCGAGTGTGCTTTGATAAATAAATCTGCAAGCTCAGCAAAAGAATTTATAGAATTTTCAGGTAAAAGAGAATACCATGTTAGTGCCCCTTTAGTGAGTGTTTCACCGAATTTTTTGACCAAGACTGATTCAATTTATTTTTCTTCTTCATGGTGATTTATTGAGTTAAATTTAGATAGGTCAAAACTAGTAGAGTTGATGAATAAATCCTAACTCAATTATCATTGATCAAGATGAGTTAGATTAATAATATAAGTTAAACAACAGGTCATCATCTAACCACTCAAACTCAAAACCAAAATTTTCAATTTCTCATACTTTATTTAACTACAAAAACAACTACGCCCTATCCCGAACAAGTTGGTAACGAGAATGTTAGAATGTCTTTTTCCCTTCAAGAGAGGGGATGTGTGAAAATATAGAAAAAGAATATACATAACAAGCTAAACAAAAGGACTCTTGTAAATCAATTTGGACTACTGGACATCATTAAAAATGTTCAGATAGGTTGGATGAATTATACTGTTTTTGGCTAAATTTGACTCTCTTACTATGATAAATATCTGCTAAGAAGTTAGATTCATCTTATTATATGTTTGCACCTATTGGTTTATAGGCCTTTTTCTCAGGTAAGTTGAGAAATTTCTCAAGCTGAAGTATACTACACTTGTAGTGAATGACTTGAATGTACTGACATAATGAGTTTTGTCATTGCAGACATATCACAGCTACATTTCCTAGTTTTTGTGCTGTAGCTGGAAAGGAATACTGAAATTTACAAGGCTCTCCGCGTTATAATCGCAAAAATAGAACACAAAAAGAATGCTATATCAACTATACAGTGATCATATATTCAGAAATGACAATGCTAATATGCATAGAATGAGAATGTGTCTTGGTCCAATTATCTGGTGCTTTGAGCTAACATGTCCTGTAAGTTCATTGGGTAGCACATAGGTGTGTGTAAGCCGGACCATACATTGTCAGCAAGGATCGCGTTAACAGCATCAGTCGGATGAAATTGATCCCACCAGATATGGTTCGAGGCGTTACTGCATGCCATTTCAGGGGAAATGCACAAGATCCAGCCTTTGTATTTGCCTAAACCACAGCAAGCCTCATCTGTAACATTGAAACCTATAGTGAAAAATGAAGAAAAATGTTAGATTGCATACATCTAACTGTGACACGTCCTGTCAAATGACTCTATATAGATTATAGGGATCGCTCACCATAACGATCGTGATTCTGAATGATGTCCATTGAACCTTCAAACGCGTCACAGAAGATGACAGTGGCACCAACAAGCTCCTCATTGAGTTCAGCGACGATATATCTAACAGCAAAGTTGAACTCCAGTATCATGTCGTTTATGGATTCTATACACTGTCCATTCTTGCTATGGTATAGCCAAAGATAATAAGGAGCACAGCCTATTGGAGCCAGTCCCATTACAACCACCTTTCTGACATTTGCATTGTACAAGTTCTGTTCCACCAGTATATACATTAGATAAATTCCTAGAGAAAGGTTTAGAAAGCATTACTGACATATATAGAAGCAGAATAAACCTGTTGAACTAAAGAATTTTGGAAGAACAGTAGAGCAGTAGGGGGAATCGAAACATGTTAGAGCACGATAAAGTGAGCAAGGTACAACAACAACAACAACATCAACGAACCCAGTGTATTCCCATGAATGGGGTCTGGGGAGGGTAGTGTGTACGCAGACCTTACCCCTACCTTATAAAGATAGGGAGACTGTTTCCGATAGACCATCGGCTCAAGGCACAGTGGAGATGAGGTGACAAGTAGAAAACAATAGTAACAACAATACATTAAGGTAACGTGCGCGAATGACACAACATGTAATAGTAAAGAATCATGAATAAAATAACACAAAAATAGTCCTAGTACTACTGGTAAGCCTAGGAGGAACACACTACTAATTGTCAACCTTCAACCCTAATCCTCGACCTGCACGTCTTTCTATCATGGGTCATATCCTCGATAAAGTGAGCAAGGTATTTGAGGTAAAGTTGCAAATAGTGCTTGCATAGAATAGTTTGTTGCTGTTTCAAGATATCATCAAAGAGGAGAAAGGAAATGTGAATGGTTTAAGTGACAATAAAAGTTGAAGAAATCATATTCTTCTTGTTCTAATTTTGCTAAATCAATTACTGGATTTAGCCCTGTCCCTAAATATGTAAATATTCAGCTGTTTTTGGCCATATAGGTGTCTCATAATCTGTGCAAAATTCTAGCAGCAAAACTGCAAAATTCAATACATCTAAAAGTCACAGAAGACAATAAAAGAAGGTGTTAAGATAATACTGCACCTTAATCTCTTGTTTCATTGTCTGTGCCAAAAACTGGTTGAAACTCCAGGGTAAGAAAACAGATTGAACATCAGATACATTGCGGAGATAGTAATGAATGTAATCGTTGGTTCCAATCGAAATGTAGAACACAGAAGTTGATATCAGATCAGCTGTTGCTTCTTCACCAATAGTCATTATAAATTGCTGAATAGTGTCAGTAACCTGCTCTATTTGCTGTGCAAGTGAGATATGCTGACCCTGCATAAACACTAATCTTGTTTAAGTAACTAAGCATCAAAATCATCTACTAACTATAAAATTAATCATAAATTTACCAATTCAGAGCCACTTGAGAAAATAATGCCAGCACCAGCAGAAGCATAATTAACACCAAGAATCATGTCTTCAATTGAACCAGCCTGCCCTAGATAACTTGGCACAAATGGTAACCCAAGACGCGCAGCTGATATAATTAAATCCACAAAAAGAATGGAAATTAGCAATCTTTACCTATAAATTCCGCTGAATATAGCAAGAATTTATCGCTCAATCCTCCAAAATAAATAATAATAAGAACAAAGACTTCACAAAAGCAGTACTAAAATTTTGAGTTTTTACTTTTTAAGAGGATAAAAAGCAAGAAATTAACTCGCTAAAGACAACCATTTCAATGAAATGAATCATTTTTCTCACAGACAATCTATCAATCAATTAACCAGCATCAATCTCAAAATCTCACTAACCCAACAGAAAAATTCTCAACATTTTCAAAAATCTCACTAACCCTATTGAAAAGTTCTCAACTTTTTCAAAAATCTCAGTGACCCAATTGAAAATATCTCAACTTTTTCACAAATCTCACTAACCCAATTCAAGAAATTGAAAAAAGAAAATTACCAAGATAATCGACAGGGATTCTTCCATTGCAGAAACGTCCAGTAGGTTGATGAGTATCAAAATCACGTCCATAAGGAAGCCTATCCGCACGAGCAAAAGTTCCAAGAAAATTGTTGGTACCACAATCAACTGACGAATCACCAATTACGAACAGAGCAGGAACAAGAGGTTCTGTAGTAGGAGGAAAAATCGGAGGTGGAGATATCGAAAAAGATGGCGAAAATGGTGAAAAATCAAAAACAGAATCATGGGTTATGAGATCTTGAGGGTAAATGAGAGCTAAGGTTTTTGGGTATATGAAAGAAATGAAGATGAAGATGAACAGAATCTTGATTGCAGAGAAATCCATTGTAGAAACAGAGAAAGAGTAAGAGAAAGAAGAAGAAAAGCAGTATATAACTAACTGCTACTATTATAAACGGCTTCTGGCGGGGAAAATGTAACCAACTGAAGGAGATGTATATATGTTAAAAATCTTTAAATTGTCTTGTTATTGTTTTTTTCCTCCGGCAAATTGTCCTATTATTTTTACACCAATAAAATGTATTCTATTAGGAAAATTTTTTGTATTATTTATTGACCCCTAATGTCTTATAAAAGATTTTTTCCTAATGTTTGGGGTATGAATGAACAAAAAAATGAGGTTGATTTTACATAAATAGCTGGTCCGAATCACTTTTTACTTTTTTAGCCAGTACGCATAGATTATACGATGATTATATACGAGTATATGCATATTATATATGTTTCTATTTTTGGAAAAAGTTTTGTATTTTTTATTGACCCCTAATGTCTTATACAAATTTTTTTCCTAATGATCGGGGTATGAGTGAACAAAAAATAAGGTTGATCTTTACATAAATAGCCGGTCCAATTAAGTTTTTATTTTTCTGGCCAATATACATAGATTATATGATGATTATATAGGATTATACATATATTATACATTCGTTGAATATTTTTAAATTTAAACACTTGGATATACGACTATTTAAGTTAATTTTTGATTAAAAAGAAATGTGCTCAACTTGTCCAAGTCTGGATAGGTTAGATGCATTGTATTTTTGGGTGCTAAATTTGACTCTTTAGTAGTTCATAAATAACTATTCTTCAACATTACTAAAATCACTTTACTTAAAAAGGAAATCAACAGTTCTTGCAATTCGTTTAGACCAAATATTAGTTTCTTTTTTGGTGTGTATTTTAGTACGTCTCCTAAAGATGGGTTGTGATGCAAAATTCTCAATTTAGTCACGTGTACTACTAATATTATGGATAATCTTTAGTTTCGTCGCCGTCAATTATAGTAAAATAACAAGGGCTAGGCAGTTTTCGAACTGGTCATTCAAAAATAGTCAGCGTTTGCAAAGTTATTGAAAAATAACCACTATTTTGCTGCAACACGGAAAGTTCCAGCATAATATACCAGAGATCGGTGCACCTGTGTATGAATTTCCAGCATATTATGCTGGACCGGTATATTATACTAGAGTATACTGGAACTCCAGTATAATATACTGCATAATATACTTATGCTGGAGTATTTTCCGGATTTTGAACAGTATTTTTGTTCAGATTTATCTTTACATGAAAAGTGGCTAAATTTCGATTACTTTTGAAACTGTGGCTATTTTTGAATGACCACTTGTAAATCTGACTATTTTTCAATTTCTCTCTCAATTATACTAGTGTTCATATATTGCTAAGGATTTTGTTAAGTGGTATCAAAATATGAAAAATCAAACACACAAAAGACTAAGGGGATTCAATATATAGTGTATATACATAAAAGTTTTTACCTAATTGCAGAATGTAATTTTTGCCATTGGTAGCACATAGGTGTTAAGATCATATAGAACACTGCATCTTAATCTCCTGTTTTGTTGTCTGTGCCAAAAGCTGGTTGAAACTCCAGGGTAAGAATTAGATTGAATCGATTTGATTTAAACAATGGGTGAAAATTCAACTTGTCAAAATCTAAGGATTGCTCTAGGTTGGAGTTTGTCTCTCTGGGGAATAGGAACAATAGCATAAGCAAGGCAACCAAAGGTTCTCAAATGTGAGTAATTATGAGGTTTACCATACAATACCTCATAAGGAGATTTGTTTTGAAGAATCCTAAATGGAATTATATTAAGCAAGTATGTAGAAGTCAAAAGACAATCCCCCCAAAAAATGACATGCAATTTGGACTGAAAAAGCAAGGCCCTACAAGCTTCAAGAAGGGTTCTATGTTTTCTTTAAACTATATCATTTTGTTGAGGAGTGTGTGGACAAGTAATTTGATGGATAATCCCATGTAGACTGAAAAAGGAAGAGCCAACATGGCTGGAACCTAGCTCCAAAGCATTGTCACTTCTAATGGTTTGTACAGTAAAATTAAATTGAGTTTAGACCATTGCCAAGAATGATTTGATCATGGAAAAATCATTGATTTTAGAACCCAGTAGATGTGTCCAAGTAGCTGTAGAAAAGTCATCAACAATGGTAAGGAAATATCTTGAACCAGAAGAGGTTGGTGTGTGATAGGGTCCCCAAGTATCGATGTGGATTAATTGAAAAGGTCTGGTTGTACTAATGGAGCTGTCAGGGAAGGGAAGCCTAGTTTGTCTAGCCATGGGACATACAGAACAAGGAAATGGCTGTCTAGAGGCAAGAGAAGATGACAAAACAGAAATATGCTTCATATTTGCAAAAGGAATGTGCGCAAGTCTTAGATGCCAAATGTAATTCATATCATTCACATCAGCATTATTATAAATGTAATTATTAACATTGGAAGACAAAAATCATTTTCAGAACTAGAAGAGGAACTAGGTTTACATGAATCAGACAAAGAACACACAGAAACAGTACTGCATGAGTTAGAAGTAGAATTTGAAGGTGGCACCCAAGTAAGATTGTACAGACCAGCCTCCTCTCTACCAAGATCCAGAGGCATCCTCAGAGAAAGGGCCTGTAAGATGTGCAGAAGACAGGAAGTTGCAGTGAACGAGACTATACAATGCAACTGCTTTATCAGTTTGTGAACATAAATTTAATTGTGTTGAAAGGAAGGAACAAACAACACATTATGAAGAGTGATGAATAGAGTTAAAGCAACAGATCCCGTGGAAGTTACTTTCACTTCGTACCCATTAGGAAGAGTTACAAGGTAAGATATAGCTAGAGGTGTAATATCAAAAAGTAAGTTTTTATTAGAGGTCATGTGATCAGAAGCACTTGAATCTGTTACCCAAGTGATAGAGTCAATTTGAGTAAGCATGCAAAGTTTGGAATCAGAAACAGGACTATCAGTTAGTAGTGCACAAGCAAAATTAGCAGAACACATGAGATTAGGAGGCTGAGCATTGGAGGAATCTCCCAACTGAGTCTGTTGTAGTATAGTACGACCCGACTGGTCGTTTTGAGTAATTACGTCCGCTTCGGCAGTTTGAGGTCATGAGTAGCTTCATATTATGTGTATAGACTTGCATGCATGGTTGGATTCTGTTTTCGGATGAATCAGAGCCGAATTGGAAGAAGGAATCTAGTTTTGGAAGCTAAAGCGGTGAGAATTTGACCGGAATTTGACTTTTGAGTAAACGGCTCTGGAATGAGTTTTGGATGATATCAGTAGCTTTGTATGTTGATTTTGGACTTGGGCTTGCGTTTGGATTTGGATTTGGAGGCCCGTAGGGTAATTTGAGGCATTTCGGCGAAAGTTAGAAAAGTTGACGTTTGGAAAATGGGGAGGTTTGACCCATAGTTGACTTTTGTGTTATTGAGGTCAGAATGCAATTCTGAAAGTTGGAACAGTTCTGTCATGTCATTTGGGACTTGCCTGCAAAATTTGGTGTCGTTTGGAGTTGATTTGATATGGTTCGGATGCTTGGTTGCAATTCTAGAAGTTCTTGAAGTTCATAGTGATTTTCATGCGTTTTGGCATCCAATTCGTAGTTCTAGAGGTTATTTTGGTGTTCTAATTGCGCAAGTGAGTTTGTGTTATGTATTCAGACTTGTGTGGGCGCTTGGTTTGGAGCCCCGAGGGCTCGGGTGAGTTTCGGAGTGGTTTCAGAATAGCTCTCATGAATTTTGATTTTTCTGGTTCTGGTTTCTTCGCATTTGCGATGTTCTGGTTGCAAATGCGTCCATCGCATTTGCGATGCCTGGGCGACTGGGCATTTTTCGCATTTGCGATGAGGCTGCCGCATTTGCGAAAGCCAACCTTCGCATTTGCGAAGTTTCTGTCGCAAATGTGACCTTAGCAGGGTAAGGTTAGGGCTTCGCATTTGCAAAGCTTTCTTCGCTTTTGCGAACCCAGTGTCGCAAATGCGACATCTACAGCCTGCTAAAAGTTGGGTATTCCGAGTTTTTGCTTCATTTTCATATTTTTGAACCCTAGAGTCGAGGTGAGGCGATTTTGTGAAGAGATTTTCATACCAAATAATTGGGTAAGTGTCCCTAATCAATTTCCAACTATATTTTGTGATTATATCTTAGATTTAACATCAAATTCATGAGAATCTAAAGGAAAATTTGGAGAAAATTATAAAATAATAATTTGAAGGACCAAATGGTATCAGAATATGATAATTTTTGTATGAGTGAACTCGTACCGGAATGGGTATTCGGTTTTTGTAAATTATATCGGGTTCCGAGGTGCGGGCCCCGGGAGTTGACTTTTGTTGATTTTTTGCAAATTGTATAAGGATCATAGCTTTGTTAGTTGAAATTATTTTCTCTTGCATTATTTGATGTATTCAAGTCGTTTTTGGCTAGATTGAGCCGAACATTGATGAATTGGTAAAGGAAAAGCTAAATTGAGTATTGAATTGGCCGGATTGAGGTAAGTATCTTGTCTAACCTTGTGTGGGGGACTTCCCCTTAGGATTTGAGTCTTCTATGCTAATTGTAGTCCGTGCACACGAGGTGACGAGTGTGTGCTCGGATTTATTTGTGGAAAATTTGCCTTTAGGGTTCTTAGGTCCTTATGTTCATTAAGTAGGAAGTTTTTCAATATGATTGGGTTTCCTAATTGTTTGTTTTACCTCTATATGCTCCATATGACGTTGTTAGCTTTCCTTTGACTCTTACCTGTTACTTGGCCCTTATTTGCCTTAATTGAAGTGATTGTCCTCCTTATTGTTTTGTTATCTCTTAATTGTGAATTTCTCTATGACGTCCAAATTGTTGTGGTTGCCGGTGTAGTTATCACATGCCTTATGTGTCTTGTTGTTTTTGCAAAGGTTGTTGTGCTTTCCGTGATTCTCTTGTTGCCGTGTACTCATACTCTTGGTGGTAGAAATCCTTGTGATTGGGTTGTTGAATTGTTGTTGTTGATGATTTTAAACTATGTTGTTGATATGTTGAGGAGGAATAAGAGAGAATTGATGTTGTCTGGTGGGATCGGGTTGCATGCCGCAACAAGGAGTAATAAGG